TTTATCTTATTTAGTAATGGAGATTTTTGTATTTCTGTGTATGTTATGGAGCTTTATTCTGGGTGGTAGAACTAGTTGAAAGTTTTTGGACTGGACCAGAACAGCATTTACTAATGGGCTGATTTTGCTCTGCTACTGAAACAAAACGCTTCTTATAACTGTGTTTGATGACCTGCATATGAGCTTTTCTGCTACGGCTAGAGATAAACGATATTTTTCCTGGACCACTGTGAGTTCCCTTGATTGTCCTCTAATCCTTGTTTTTACTTTGTCCCCCGCCTCCAGGTTAAGTATAGTGTCCTTGTATGTGCTGAGCATTTTTCTGCTGAAACTTGGAGATTGTCTGTAATTCTCCAGAGTTCTTTCTGAATTTTTTCTTCTCTAGTGCTTCTATACTGTGACTTCTGTCCTTCTTCTCTCAGACTCTTGACTCTGATTCACCAACTTAAAAATTATTCCAGGCTCCATTTGACTTAGCCCTCTCTGTAGTATGACTTGGAAACTCTATAGGATAGTAAGCTAGGGCAATTGTAGGGTGTAATTTGTTTTTCCTTCATCTTTCAGTACTCACTGTCTTTTGTTGCCTGATGTCTAATGTCTTAACAAATATCATTCATATATTTTGTCCTGCCTGTCTTTTAGGTGTTTTAGGCAGGAGAGTATCTCCTGACCTTGTCTACTTCATTTTGTCTTGAAATGGTAGTTTGGGAGGAGCATTTTAATTGGATAATCATAGTTCAATCTCTCACTTCCAGAATTTACAATGTTAAGTGTGGGAGAGCTATCGTTAATTCCCAGAGCTCTGAAACTTGTGAACAAGGAATAATGTGTTTCTGGGATGCTAGCCAGTGCTTAAGTGGCTAAGGTCTCTGGCTTATATCTGTCTACCTCCAGTGCAGAACATGCCAGGCATGAGCATGGAGTGTGTTCTTGATATATTGTTCTTTGTAGATCAGAATTCAGTATGTGATAGTATCTGTCTAGACCTTCTAAAGAGGGTCTTTAAAGAAACTTATGAAAATCTAGTCTCAGAGCATAGAAGGACGAAAGTATGATAAGGCTCCAACATTCATGATTTCTTGTGTTAGACTATAGAAGTGTCACAAATGTTTTTGAAAAAATTTTACTTGTAGTCATTTCTAATTTTCTTTTAAACTCTTCAGACCTCCATTCTCGATGTGGGACTATCTAAACCCATACTAGCACAGAGATGCAGTCAGTAAGTTTTGATTCCTAAGTCTGGAATATTAGGTAAGAGCAAGCATTTTAAATGCATTTCCCAAAGACAATAAATTATTCATTGAACAGGCTTTAAAAAATTGACTCATTGTTTACTTCTATAGGCAGCTTATTATAAGTAGTTATTTGTTGGTTATACTTCACTTGTATATATTAAAAAGTTGTTAAATAAGTCAAAATGAACTTATTCTTTATGCCTTAAAATTTGAAAGTACAGTTTTTGTCTGTGTTAAAATTTTACAGTGTCTGTTACTTATATATTAAAGGGAAAGTTACCTGCCCAAATTTAATCCTCCAAAAATGCACAGTTATACACACAAATATAAAAAACCTCTGAGCTATGCTCTGCTTTGCAAATACCAAGATAGTGTAGTGCAGTGAATGAATGATTAGTATAAAGCTATCAATTCCTGCAAAATTAATTATTGGCATAAATTCCAAACAAGAGGTTTTTTTGTGTTTGAAATTGACAGAATTAGGTATAGTTTATCCATAAAAGTAAGCAAATGAAAAGAACTAAGAAATTTGGACAAGTCTAGAGAATATCATTTGTTTGCCCTACCTCTTGTCTTAAAACAAGCTTTGAGCAAGGCTTTGTGTCATGCATCTAGAATCTCAGGTACGTGGATGCCTGAGGCAGGAGAATGGTATGGGCCCAGGAGTTTTAGGGCATCCTGGGCAACATGGTGAGACACTATTTAAAAAGGAAGGGAGAAAGAGAGAGAGAGAGAGAGAGAGAGGGAGGGAGAGAACAGAGTACAAAATTTTATAAAGTTTCTACAAGCAAGACATCATAGTATTAATATAAGATTAGAAACATATTTTATCGTCTGAGAATATGCTGTTATGTATGACATATATTATTCTGGATAAAGGAAGAATTATCATTTCGTGGCAAAGAGAATGATTACTCACTAAATAGTATTTGATAAATTGGTTAGATATTTCAAAAATTATTTGGAAATACCATCTCTGCCACATACAAAAATAAATTTACTTATATTAAAGAATGAAGTCTGGAAAATAATTACTGTATCTTAAAACAAAGTGTAGTTGAATATTTACTTGATCACTGAATGGACAAGGAATTATTAAGCATTAAAGTAGTGAAGAAAAAACATACATAAATTTGACTACATAAATGTCAGAATTATTAAGTATAAAAAAACAGCACAAAGTTGGAAAATATTTGCAGCTACTTTGATGCAGCAGTGACATTTCAAATATTTAAGAAGCTTGTAGCAGTTGACCAAACACTAAGTTAATAATGAAAAATAGATAAAAGCATTACTGATAACTCATGAAAAATACAAAGATCCCTATTATGAAAAAATCCAATGACAAATAGTTAAATAAAACTTGGTGATGCTTGTAGATCAAATTTGGAAAGATTTTTAAAGGCTATATTTGGAATTGGCATAGAGATGGCAAGACAAATTTCTTCACAAACTGCTGATGGGAGTGAAAGCTATTGTAACCTTTTTGGAAAATAATTTTTTATGTATTATAGAAATTTGGGCAATTTTTGTCCTTGACCCAGTGTTTCTTATTTTATCTTAGAAATTTATTTGGGGAAAAATTATAAACATTAATATAGATGCATGCATAATGCACAGTCATTTAAAATAGAGAAAACTGGAAGTAACCTAATTGTCTAGAAGGAGAACATTAGGTAAATCACGTTAAATTGGTATGGTTAATCTTGTATTGCTATTGGAAACTTTATAAATTAGTTTGAAAGATATGTGAAAAGGTTTATGATATAGTATTACATGGATAATAAAGGAGGCCAGTGTGTTAACACACACATTCATCCATATATATGCAAGAAAATAGTAAGAGTGCTTTTTTAATACTGCAATTTTGGATAATTTGTATTTTGGAGAGGAATTGAAGAGTAGAACAATTCACCAAATAGAAAAACATTATTTGTAGTGAATCCAACATTTACAAAAAAAACTTGTAGTACGATAGAGGCTTCTGTGGAGAAGGTCACTGGTAGGAGCAAATATTCCTGAGTTCAAATTTGGAGCCTCATTCTTACTAGCTATGTTACTGTGGTCAAGTTAACCACTGTGAGATTCTTTCTCCATAAAGAAGTTGAAGATATTTACCTCATGGCTTTATTTGGAAAATTGTAATAGCATAATGAATGTGCACTGCTTGGCACTTAATTAATTGCACCTGGTGCATAATTGCTTTTTGTACGTAATTGCTTCTTAGTAAGTTTTTTATTTTTATCCTTTGAAGTGTTTGACCAAGGCAATTTCTTGATAGCATAATGGGGTTTATACAAACTATGACATAGGCAATGCAATGTTTCTTCCTTTAGAGTTGTAAAATATTTTATTTATGGTTTTCTCTTATGTTAGGTTTTCATGAGCATTTTAATTATCTTTTCCCAAAAGTGAAATATACTTATTTATTTACAAGTATTTTATTCCTAACAAAAACATGAGTGAAATGATGTTTTGGTCATTAAATTAATGCTGTGAAATTTAGATAATGAGAAATATTTGCTTTTGTATTTAGCATTTGAAAGAGTAGATGGGGTATCAAAAATTAACTGTTGGTTCTCTGCAATTTTACTAGTAGCCTAAATCTATACTGTGAAATGTAGGAGCTTTAATTCTAAATGGGCAAGCTGGTTGTGACACTTTATCATATTTTATTCAAATTTGAGCTTTTGTAATAATCCAGATATTTTTGATGAAAATTACCCATAACTTGACATTTTTGTCCATCCCAAGCCATTGACAAACTCTAAAAATTATAATTAATGATTAATTAGTTCCAAATTCTGTCTGAAAATTAACTAATTTATAAAAGAAAGTAGATGTAAATCTGTAATAATAATACTTTATGGTTATGTAGCCTTTTACAGTTTACAAGGCTTACTTCTTTTTGATATAATTCTTGAAATAACCTTGTTAGGTAGATATAACAAATACACTTATTTTACAGATTTAGAAAGCAAGTTCCAGAAGTCAAAATTATGTGTCTAGTCTAATGTTATACCACTAATTCTGATTTCAAGTCCAGTACTCTTTTTACTTTGTGATCAGACACAGAAAAGTGGAGAGCCAGGGGCAGCAGCACATACCTGCAATCTCAGCTACTTGAAAGGCTGAGGCAAGGAGGATGGCACATTTGAGGCCAGTGTAGGCAACTTAATGAGACTCTGTCTTAAAATGAAAACTAAGAAGGGCTATGGGTATAGTTTACTGCAAGGCCCTGGATTCAATTCCCAGCACTACCAAAGTAAGGAGAAGGAGGAGGGAGAGGAAGAGGAGGGAAACTGCCTTTAAATTTATAAACTTTATGACTAGTGAAAAATAGTAGCAATAATGGAATTATCAGTTTTAAAATAAAATGTCCTATGTACTTCACATTTTCAGAGGTCATTATCATGTTAAATAAAGCAGAGTAGTAAAATTAATATTGGTATTACGATGCCATATCATTAAAAAAGAGCAATTCTATGTGCAGTACATTTAATTAAGAAGATATAGAAATATATGTTTAAAAAACTTTCTCACAAAATGGCTGACATTGATGAGAAAATTCTTAAAGAAGTTAATTTCACCTACAGTATCTAAAAATCTCTATTCCCAGTGATTATGCCAATCAAAGCAAAATTAACTACACTTATTTTCTTATTATTTGCCCATTTTTGTCTTACTGGTTTTTAAAGAAAGACATTTTGCAAAATAATCATTACTGAAAGAAAGATTGAATGGTTAATTGTTATTTTATTTTAGGTTCTGTTTACAGAAGAAGATGTGAAATTCTACCTTGCGGAACTGGCCCTTGCTTTGGATCATCTGCATCGACTAGGAATTGTATATAGAGACCTGAAGCCAGAAAAGTAAAGCTATATTTTCCTTATTTAACCCTGCTGTCTATAATGGTAGAACCAGTATTACATTTTAGCACAGTGGGTTAAATTTTTTAAAGATTATAGGGAATTCAAAATTGATTTTAGAATTAATTGAAATTTACTTATAAAATGTAATCTTAATAATACACACTTTGATTGTAAGTTTATCTTTAAATTTTCTAATATAGCAAATAGTTATCTTTTTTAAGGTGATAAAGATTTTTTATGTAAGTATGTTATATAAACTTTTTTGCATCTTGTTGAATGTGAATTTTGATTTACAGCATTTTGCTTGATGAAATAGGACATATCAAGTTAACAGGTATGCAAATTTTCTTATGCATTCTTAAAGCTATTGCTTGACATGCTCACTATTTCAATATACAGTATATTTATTTAAGGCTGTTTTCTTTGTTGATTTGATTTACATTTTGATTTTTAGTGAATTTAAGTTCATTTAAAGAAGAGAATTTTTATTATATTCTAATTAAATTTTTTGTACATAAGAGGCACTGTTTTTCAAAAATGGTATTTGGTTTTCTAGGTAAAAGGAGATAATTTTAATTGGACTCTAAACTATAGGAGTTAGTATAAACATTCATGACATTTGAAATATAGTGACACTTTCCCTGCCCCTTCCTCAGCAAACATTTTATCTGTTGAATATTTCTATATTTTTGTTATTGTAAAGCATTATATAAACTGCTGTTGTAGAACTATACAGTAGTCACTCTTGAGCATTTGTCCTAGAGAAATAAAAACATATTCACACAAAAACCTACCCATGAATTTTCATAATAGCTTTATTCGTAATGACCCCAGACTGAAAATGACACAAATGTCCTTAAAAGGGTGAATGGATAAACACATACCACAACAGAATAGCATACTACTCAGAAGTATGAAGGAAAGAACTGAAGATTCTCGCAACATTTTGGATGGATCTCAAGGCCATCCAAATTATCATCTGGATGCTAAGTGGGCCTATCTTAAAACGTTACATTTATTTTCAGAAGATAGTTAATTCTATATTTGATTATCAGAACACTAGCACAAAATAAAATGATGTGGTCTTTAAAGAGAATTTTGAACTGGTTCCATTTAAAGGTAAGTTGCTATCAATTTGTAAGTTCACTGGATGAATGTGAAAATAGAGTATCAAACTAAAACATTAAGAACTGAAGTAAAGAGGTCAAAATTAAAATTTGTGAGTCTTATTCATGGCTTGATTGTGTTTTTGGATAGGCTGTTCATGTATAACCAAGCAATGTAGGTTTGCAAGAGACTGAAAGCAGGAAAAATGATAAAGGAAAAGAAAACAAAACAGTTTGAGGTTTTATAGAGTAAATAAAATTTTATTTTACAATAAAAGAACTTTAAATTGAGAAACAAATTAGAATTTAGTTACTCATTTCATTTTTATTAACAAATTATATCTACTTTGTCAAAGGTGAAAAAAAGAAATGGAAAAAAAGAGTAGAATAAACCTTACTTTTACCTCTATGCACATTAAGGTCAATTACAAGCATAATGGTGCCAAGTTATTTTATAGTTAATCTTCTAATTTGAATTTTGCATATAAATTTTAGAGACTTAAACTGATTGAGGAAGGAAGAGTAGTTAGGATCAGTGTTAATTTATATGCAAGAGACACAAGGTATGTAACAGGAAGAAAGTGTGATCTGTAAGTTTTTAATCATATACTCTACTTTCTTAGCAATAATATCAGTGTTTCATCTGATGAAAATATACAATCCTAAGTATTAGACAATTTATAGTCTTACAGTATTCCAATGAGTTTTATTAAATTATGACCCTTTATGTAAGTATTTAAAGCCTTTACTTTTTGTTTTCTTTACTTTTTATATTTTATGTAAAAACAATTTCATTACAAAATAATGAGAGAATAATAATATTTAATACACTGTGTATCATTATCTTCAAAGTAGTTACTCAGAGTACAAGACAGAGACAGAAAAGACTGTCTCATACCAAGGAAACAGATACCACAAGACTTTCTGTTCAATGAACTGAGAGAAAATAGTATGAAAAAAAATCATATATATTAAAATATTTTTGAAACACAAAATAGATAATTTAGGGAATTTTTTGAAGTTCTCCCAACCTTTATTTTCTATTTTGCTTTTTATTTGTGTATACATATATATTTTTTTCTTGAGTTGTTCGTACAATAGGAGCCATGTGCTACTTAAGCTTTTTTTTAGTTTTTTTTTTTTTTTTTTGTGGTTTTTCTCCGGTACCGGGAACCGAACTCACGACCTTGCGCTTGCCAGGCAGGCGCTTTTGCCGCTGAGCTAAATCCCCAGCCCTTAGTTTTTTTTTTTTTATTTTAAAGAGAATAACAAAGAACAATAGCAAAATACCAACAACAGAGACAAAAACAAGAAAAAAACAATAAAAATGATACAGAGTTTCAGAGCAAAATGATAGGAACTTACTGGTTGTTATATTGCATATTGCTATCTTCAACGAACTTGCTTTTTTATTCTCTTTAATGGTTTGATCAATACGTAAGCTTTTTTGACTGACTTATTTCACTTAACATCATGTTCTCAAGTTGCGCTCAGGTTTACCTTTCTTTATGACAAAAGTAGTATTCCACTGTGTATAAATGCTGCATTTTCCTTATCCATTCATGTTGTTATGGACATATATGCTTTTTCCAAGATCTGGCTATTGTACATTGTGCTGCTATAAACATGAATGTACATGTATCTCTGTAATGTGCTGATTATCACTCTTTCAGCAAGATACTAGAAGTGGGATATATGGGTCAAATGGAATTTGTATTTTTAGTTTTTTGAGGAAGCTGCACACTGATTTCCACAGTGGTTGAACTACTGCATATTCCTATCACCAAAGTGGAAGAGTTTCTATTTCCCCACATCCTTAGCAGGAATAGTTACTATTAGATTTTTTGATGATAAGTATTGTTTCTGGGGTAAAATGGTACCTCAACATAGTTTTAATTTGCATTTCTATAATGACCAGGGTGTTGAACATTTTTCGTGTATTTATTGGCCATTTGTACTTCTTGAGAGGAGTATTTATTCTTTTGAGTTGCCCATTTTTTTGGTTGAGTATTTCGTTTTGGGAGTCTAATTTTTTTGAGTTCTTCATATATTCTGCATATTATTTGTCTGTCCAAGGAATAGCTAGCAATTTTTTTTCCCATTCTGTGGGTTGTCTCTTCACTCTGTTGATTGTTTCTGTTGCTGTGCAGAAGCTTTTATTTTGATATGACCCTGTGTGTTGATTGTCAAGATTATTTCTTTTGTCATTGGGGTTCTGTTCAGAAACTTCTTACCTATGCCCATGGCTTCAAGAGTTGTACCTATGTTATTTTAAAGCAGATTGTTTCTGTTTTAACTTTTAGATCTTTGACTTATCTTGATTTTAATTTCTTACATGGTGTGATTAGTCTAGACTCAAATTTCTGCCGAATGTGGATATTCGATTTCCAGCTCCATTTGTTAAAGAAGGTATTTTTCCTCCAGTATGTTTTTAGCACATTTGTCAAATATCAGAAAACTGAATGTGGCTGGGGTTGTTTCTGCTTCTTGAACTGTTCTGTTCTTTGATCCACATGTCTGTTTTTCTGCCAACACCATGCTGTTTTAATCACTGTAGCTATCTAGTATAAATGACACCTGCTTTGCTTTGCTTTCAATTTTTAATTTGATTAGCACATGTTTGCATTTTATGCAGTTTACACTCATCTTGGGGAGTGGTTACACATGTAATATATCACAGCTTATTTCCCACTTATTAATCCCTTTCCATCCCCCCTTTCAGTTCCCCTATTTCATTATTCATTCTGGTTCATATTATTGATCTTAGCTCATGTTTTGGTATATGTTTGCATTAATTGAAGTGATTAGGTTCCTGTACATGGAATATATTTATTATACTTATTTCCCCTTCTCCTCTGTATTACCCTTTGTGGTTTTCCCTTTGTACTACTTCCCTATTATAGAAGATCCATCTCCTTGTTTCCTTCTATCCATCCTTTATTACTCTCTACTGTGCCTCAGTCAAGTGAGAGATGCCATACCATATTTAAGCTTGTGTGTCTGATTTATTTCACTGGATGTTATGCTTCTCAGTTGCGTCCATTTTCCTACAAGTATCTCAAATGTGTCATTCTTTATAGCCTAGTAGTATTCCATTACATATAGATACCACATTTTCTTTATTCAATCATCTGTTGATGGGTATACAGTCTGTTTCCAAGATTTAGCAATTGTGAGCTTTGCTACTACAAACATTGGTATGCATGTATCAGTGAAGTATGATGTTTTAACTGTTTAGCAGTGTACCCCAAGTGTCACCAAGGCAGCATGTTTGTTCACATACTGACTATCTTTAGTTGCTCAGGCAGGGGTCATTCCAAACAGTTGACTCTTGTTTGTGTGACATACACTTGTAAATATGTTTATTTGTTTTACACACTTTTTATTTAGAATATTGCCTTTGCCTTTAATGTTTGATTCTAGTGAAATCAAATAATAAGTACTGGTTACTTTCGTTAACTAGTTTGTGCTTATTTGTAAAAAATAACCTGTTATTTTGGCTACCATCTATAAAAACTCTTATCATGTGTACATTAGATATAACTTATATACCGCTCCAGAACTCAGTGATGTTCTTTTACAATACAAAACAGACATGTTTGGGACATTGAGACTGAATAGGAAAAAAGTGCCAAAAGATCTACAAAGGAAAAACTGAAAAAATATATAAAGGTTAGCATATCAGAAAGGAAAAGTCTGTGTTATGAAAAGGAAAGACAAAAAAACTGTCTACTTATTGTCAACTATTCATAATACAGGAATGATAGAACTTGAAAAAAAACAAAATTAAAAAATTACAATAGTTGTCATTGACTATACTTCTATGGGTGGTGTGGACAGAGTTGACCAACATCTAACAAGCCATCCTGTAATCATAAAGCGAGGAAAAATATTATTGTAAAATATTTATGCACATTCTGGACCAAGTAATATGGAACTCATTTGTTATTTATTCAAAACAAGGGAGCTTACAAAGTCATTTACAATGTACATTGGGTCTAATAGACCAAATAATTGAAAACTACAGTGAAGGTAAATGGCAACCAGAATAACAATCATCAACATCTTCAGCATTACGTTTAGTTAGTAGATATTTTATTGAAATTATTCCATCTACAGAAAAAAGGAAAGGCCAACACAACAGTGTAAAGTATGTTGTTCAAAAAAAGACAGTGATGCAGAAAGAATTCAGAAAGAGACAAGGTACCACTGTCCAGATTATAACATT